TCCGTGTTCGGTACTAAGATGACGTAACCTCATATTATGTTGTGTGTGAAAATGAATGAAATGAAATAATGTGAACTATTGTCAAATAAGATGAGACAGGAGCATTTAGTTAATATAACGTATATTTATAAAATAAACTTTGAATACAAAATAAAATATTCATTATGTTCTTATCCAAATTTGTCAATTGATAGAATAATCATTGTATATTTATGATTTTATTTTTAAAAAACGTTTTAAAGAATAGATTGAAGAAAAATTATTCAAACGATCTTTTACTTCAATTTAAACGCGATAGAAACATATAATTATATATTTTTTCATTTAAGATTATCCAAAAGTTTTTTTTTATTTATTTAGAATCTGCTTTAGAATTGACTTTTTTTTTAATTTAAAAACTTTTCACTTAGAAAAATGATTAATTATTTGTTTATGGATTTGACTTGGTTTTAATTTTAATTTATTTTTCGGAGATTTTAAATTTGTGATAAATAAAATAAAAGTGTTAGAAACAAACGACATGCCACGAGCCTTGAGAAGGGTATATTGTAGATACAGAGACAATGAACCGAACACTGTTTTGTTTATTTGGTTATTTAAAGCTAAACAAATTTAGATGAACATTCCACAAGCAGGGTCGTGTTTCACATTTTACAGTTTCCATTACTGCAAAATATAAATGCACATAGAACCAACAAAATTTCACCCCAACCATTTCTATTTTACAACCAATAAGTTAAATAAGCCATTTATCAATAGAAACGAGTTTTTAATTTAAAATGATGCAAACTTAATCCGAGTATAGTTGAACAGAATGAAAGAAAAAAAAATAGAGGATTCGTTTGTTGCATAATTAAATAAAAAAGTATAGGAAGCAAGTTGTATATATTTATGTGTGTACATATAAACTTTGTAACAACTATTTTAAGAGTGATGAATACAAATTAAGTAATCTAAATTATTTAAAAGGGTATCGAAAAAGTTTTATCGTTTTAACATGCTTCATATTTATATTTCTCTAATTGGTACTGTGAAAGCATTTATTAATGGCCATATAGTCTAGTAGGTTATTGTTTTTTCTGGTCAAAAGGAAGATTTTGCTTTCCCTTCAAAACCTTCTTTTGGTGCACTTTGTTTGTATGTAATCAAAGAAGAATCATTCTCAAAATTTAAGATAAGTTGAGATGTTAATGATTGAAGTTTGTTTGCACTTGCCGAAAGGACATCTATTCAATCAATTTTAAAAAAGAAAAGTCCATTTAAACAATTTTTCGGTAAATTTAATAAGAAAAAAGGTTCTAGACATATATTTTTTTTACTTACATAAGTTTTTGTGTTGATAACACAAGCCTTAAATATAAATTAGAACAAATCTTTAAAAAGTGAAAACATAATCATCTCACATCAAAACCCACTTATAGTTTAACGATCTATGAAATCTTCACCGATATTTGAATTTGATTAAAGCATATTAAATATGATTTGACTGGTTTGTGTTGGTATTAATAAGTATTAGTGAATAGTGAGTGTGAGTTGGAAAGAACTGAGAGAGTCAGCGTGGTATCTTTTATTGATTTACCCCTTCCCCACATTTTTTGACTATGCATTCACGAAACAATGATTTCTTGTACAGAAGTGAAGAGAGGAATAGAAAAGTGAAAAAGTAAGACACAGATGATTGGATAAATAAGGAAAAGATATTAAGATTATTGTAAAAGTAATTATAGGGTTTGAATGAACGTGATAGGGAACAGAGATATGGTGCATGATCTTAAGATGATAGATAAATTTGATGAGTTATTTATGTTAATTATGGTCAAAAAGTAATCGAAATTCATTGATTAACCATTGTCCCCACTTTGATCCATCTTTGTCTAGTTTGTTGAAAGATCTCCAACAGTGTGCGCATCTGAATTATTATGAAACTACATCACTCCTAATTATTAGTTGATAGCTCCTATAGTCCTATTCCATAATTATTGCAAGCCCTACTTTTTCTTCCATCTTTTGGACCCTTCTCCTAACGTCTATTTCCATCAAAATTTATGCACTTCCTTCATCGTGTCAAAATGCACTATATTCTATACTTTTTTTTCTCTCAATTTATATTAAGTTTATCATAAAAAAAAAACATTTATAACTTAAAGATGTATCAACCTTTAAAGCTTTTCCTTTTATGGCATACACTAACTTCATGCACTCTCTTCAAAAGCTCGATCCTTTTTGGTCTTACTTATTAGTCAAAACTCCTCATTTGTTGATGCGTTTTGTTTTTTATATTGAAAATGTAAGTAATAATTACACATGACCCATCAAATCTTTTATTTGTATACTAACTGATAAATAGTTGAGTTGAGTGATACTGATATTGACTCTTACCAACATTTCTATTAATAACCCAATTGTTCAATTAATATTGAAAATTGGATAAGATCGAGTTCATAACATAAGTTATAAAAAGAATGTACTTATGTATTTATGTCTTCACCAGCATTTTAGATATACATAAAAGATTGTATTATCACTATATTATTATTATAATATTAGTTATAAAATAAAATCGGTGCAAGTACAACCCCACACAGAAAGTTAAGATAGCTACATACCCTATATAGAAAATAGACCATGAGATGGGGAATTACTTTATCCCTTTAGAGTATTAGACTACTAGGCCCATTTTTCATCTGATTTTTCAATAAAACCCACCATGAATAGAAGTTACATCTTTTGATGAAATATTTAGAAATTATATATAATACAAGTTTTGATACCAAAAAATCATAACTGAGCATAGTCTTTAACTTTCGTATGAGGGTGTTATAAGATTATTGAGACTTTAATATCACTTTAAGATCTATAAAAGAAAATTTTAATATCAAGAAAAATTTATATGAAAAATTATAACACGACTTCTAGTTTAAAATTTTAAAATTTAAGGATAATAAATTTATAAATTTTATTATTATAAATGGATCCCATTTTAGTTTTATATAAAATTAAAATTGTTAGTAGGTGAGTAAAATTTTATTAGGTAACAGAAAAAGCCCGTGGGTTAAGAGTAGGGGCCTAATAAAAGACAAAAAGTAAATAGGGTTAGAAGATGTTATGTTGGGCTTGACCTAACTCCTAAGGCACATAGGTCCACGTATGGTCAAACGTCACATCACCGCACGCATGCCTTAAAATCACAACGTATCATTTTCATGTAAATGCATGCATTAATAGTAATTCGTTTTATAAAAAAATAAATAAAACTATTCGAATAAGTGATCTTTTAAAATAATATGAATTAAAATACAATACNTTGCTCCGTCTCTACTATACAAGAATAATTATTTGACCATTTATAACATAACTATCAACAATTATAAAGACCTCTATTTACTTTGTCTTTGAAACAATTTTACAACCATTGACAATAAAAATAACTACATTATGAAAATGATTGGCTTTTTATAACGTTTGACAAGAAAAAAAAAACGTTTAAAAAAAATATAGAGCGGTAAATTTAATAATATGACAACGAAAAATAAAATACAGATTTATAAAAATGTGAGTAGAAATTTCATTTGGCTGCGATCAATTAATATGCAAATAGATAAGAAATGCTCGCGACGGTGTTGATTTGGGGCAAAGACTGCGCATATTATGGAGAACATTGATTTTAAATGGATGAGATTAACTTTAAAAGTGAGATGATTTATATTGAAATGTTTTTATTCTAAAGTGAATTTATTAAAAAAAAAAGTGTTAGTTTTTTGAGCCTAACCCAAAGGTTGCTTAATTAAAATTTAACTAAAGATTTATATTCGTACTATGATGAAGTTTGAGAGAAGATAATTATTGGGACAGTGAGTTTTATTGGAACGTGAAAAACTACTACAATAAGCGTGTTCAAACACGGTATTAAAACGAATTACGATACCTTTTATTCCCATAAAACGAAAAAGAGAGTGAGATTTGAGGCATTTGTTGTAAGTAAAAATTGAGATGCTTTAATTACGAAGGAAACAAAAAGGGATAGAGATAGTTTTATTAATAAGGTTATAGGAGTTAGGGGAAAATAAGTGTAAAGAAAAAAACTAAAGCATGACACGATTTTCAACTAGAATCTGTTGTCACCTCAGCACTAATATGATGTGCATTTGGTTTTGTAAAAGAGCCAAATGACACAAAGGAGCATAAATAAGCTGTTGTCCTAAAAAAGAGATATGAGGCAAGATTCCTAAATTCCACTGAGAAAATGACAATCCCTTTTGAAGAAAAAAACATAGGCTTTGTAACAGACAAGAGAGCTTTATCCATCCACAGTAGAAGTAAAAGTGGGTTCCAGATCACATAGGTAAAATTAGTGAACAGCAACATAAACAAACACTCTTGGTCCCCCACCTCTTAGAATCTCTTCTGCATTCGCCCACTTCTAGCCTACAAAGGAAAATCAAATAATGCTCTTTTTCACCACCAAGGTTTCCCAATCACTCAACTTTTTCACTCCCAAATTCATCCTCTGACCATCTTTCCTCTCAGTTTCAGACTCACCACATTCACACACAATTTTACAGTTACCTACTTACCTTACCTCACTCCTTTTTTCTCTATTTTTCTTTCTCTTTCCCTACCAAAATGAACAAAGTATCAGTCTAAGATTTCCTGCATTCAATTTCCGCTCTCCCTTTCACCACTGACGTCGGCATTGGGAACCCACCTCACTATAATAATACTTTTCATAACCAACCTTTATTATATTATTATTATTATTCATATTATATCATTATGCAATAAATAAATAAATAAAAAGTCATTTCATTTACCAGTATTTACCATTAAAAAAACCAAAGGGTGGGGCTCTCAAGGCAAAGGAAGAACCAGGTGACACACACTGCCACACACATGAGACCCCCCCTCATCAGCTACCCCTTTTTCCAATCTAACCCCTTATAAATACTCACCCTACCCTTCATCCCTTCCTCAGTGATTCAGTCTCTCAGTAAATTAATTCACTTCCCACACCCCACAGCCCAAAGTTTCTCCTTTTCCCTCTCCCTCTCATCCCTTTGATTTCATCTCCATGGCTTCTTCTGTATCCACCACACCCACTCTGTACTTCGAAGAGAAGTGGAAGCTCTCCAAGAAAGAAGGATCCACCAGAAGCAGGTCCTCCACTACCCCATTCATCAAGAATTCCTCCCAGAGAAGGTGTGCCTTTGCCAGCAAGTGTGCCAGGCTCGTGAAGGAGCAAAGGGCGCGCTTCTACATCATGAGGCGGTGTGTCACAATGCTCATATGCTGGCGTGACTACAGCGATTCGTGAAGAGAAGAAAAGGGTTTGTGAGGGAGACACGATGGGTTGTTGAGAGTGCATAAAGCTCTCTCTTTTTGAGTCCCCTCAGTCTTTTTCTTTCGCTTTAGATCAGATCCCTTTTCGGTGTTATGGAGGCCGCTTGAGATATACCTGTACATAAAAAAATTGTTTCTCTTGGCTAGAAATTTTCAATTTTGTTTGCTTTTTTCTTTTTTTTAAGGTTGTTCTGGGAACCCCCGTCAATGGAGGGTAGTCATGTTTGGTGTTACCTTTGATAATTTTCTTGGCTGTCTGAGAACTGATAGAGGAGACATGTTTAGAATGGAGAGATTAATTGAAATATATGATATAGCTTAGAGAGATAAAAATTCTGCCGGTTGCCTCTGCTTTTATATTTTCTTTTCCTTTTTTGTTTTTTTTTTCATGCTCCTCTTAAATACAACTTCTCATCTTTTTAGGCTTTCGATTCAGTTTCCGTTTGTGGGAGTTGTTTCTCTTTGGGATTGAGGAAGAAGTGATGGGTGCGTGTTTGATTGAGATCTTAAAAATCTCTGAGATTCCCTTGAAGCCATTGCAGCCGAGATGAGGTAAGCTATAGGGTCTGCACTGTGTAGATCTAAACGTGGTTAGGCTGACGCAACATCGGGCTTTGTTTAATCTTTTTCCGCAATTAATTTTATGACAAGGAAAGCATGGAAGTTAAGAACTGTTATTACTCGTAATCACAATCATAAACGGACATCATTAAACTTGTACAGTGGTGAGGGAAAACCAACCGTGGTTGGTATCGTTGATTTAAGCAATAAGCGCGTAGGTGAGAAGTGGTCGAGATGAGAAAACATTGGAAGTGAAAAGAATGAAGGTTATTCTAGAAGGTGATAAGGTTGTTTTGGCAGGATTCTTAATGGAAAATAGTTTATTTGTGAGATGTGAATGACGAAAGTGTCCTGAATGTGCTAGGTGGAGTTGAGTTGTTTGACCAGTGGATGGACCACTTTGACCCTATAATGTTGCTCAGGAGGTATTTTTGGTGTGTTATTCTTTTTCCTCGTCCTGATCCTTGGCACAACGTGCGTTGCTTTATTATTTAGAGGGTACATTGGACCAAGAATTTATTGAGGGTGAGGTGAATTTGAATTGCTTGGCCTTGGGAATGAACCATTGCTTCATTAGCTAATTTGGGTCATTTCTTTGATCTAAATAATGCTCTTTTCTTTGGCGTCTAACTGCAGAAAAACATCCACATGCGGTGAAGCTTTGTGCAGTAAAAAGTTATACAGTTTGTTTGTCTTAGTAAAAGTGTAAAACTATTTTTATTTTATTTTTATTTTATTTTATTTTTATTTTATGTTATTTTATTATTTTCCTTCATCATGGCTTTGGGAATGGCAGGCTGGCAGGAAGTCGCATGGATGATGAGTTGTTGACAATTGCAACACAAAGACACCCAAACATGAACTCTCACGCAAACACCTTATTCTATCACACACGCATAAATTATTATATTAATACCCACTATCGCAGTTTTTTTTATTAAAAAATAAAATAATATATTATTTCGTTAATAGCATTAGTTTCCCTAAACTTATACTAAAAAATAATGTCATTTTATATTTAAATAGTGTCAATTATTATTGCTATATGCCATAATTTTTCGTTACCTAATAATGTAAAATTATTTTACATAGTATGTTCTGTTCTTCTCTTTACATTAACTACTTTGAAAGTCATATACATTTAAATTTGTCATCTGACTTCGTCCTGTTCTACCCAACTGCTTATTAACGAGAACCATCATTTTTCTATTCCGTGTTCGGTACTAAGATGACGTAACCTCATATTATGTTGTGTGTGAAAATGAATGAAATGAAATAATGTGAACTATTGTCAAATAAGATGAGACAGGAGCATTTAGTTAATATAACGTATATTTATAAAATAAACTTTGAATACAAAATAAAATATTCATTATGTTCTTATCCAAATTTGTCAATTGATAGAATAATCATTGTATATTTATGATTTTATTTTTAAAAAACGTTTTAAAGAATAGATTGAAGAAAAATTATTCAAACGATCTTTTACTTCAATTTAAACGCGATAGAAACATATAATTATATATTTTTTCATTTAAGATTATCCAAAAGTTTTTTTTTATTTATTTAGAATCTGCTTTAGAATTGACTTTTTTTTTAATTTAAAAACTTTTCACTTAGAAAAATGATTAATTATTTGTTTATGGATTTGACTTGGTTTTAATTTTAATTTATTTTTCGGAGATTTTAAATTTGTGATAAATAAAATAAAAGTGTTAGAAACAAACGACATGCCACGAGCCTTGAGAAGGGTATATTGTAGATACAGAGACAATGAACCGAACACTGTTTTGTTTATTTGGTTATTTAAAGCTAAACAAATTTAGATGAACATTCCACAAGCAGGGTCGTGTTTCACATTTTACAGTTTCCATTACTGCAAAATATAAATGCACATAGAACCAACAAAATTTCACCCCAACCATTTCTATTTTACAACCAATAAGTTAAATAAGCCATTTATCAATAGAAACGAGTTTTTAATTTAAAATGATGCAAACTTAATCCGAGTATAGTTGAACAGAATGAAAGAAAAAAAAATAGAGGATTCGTTTGTTGCATAATTAAATAAAAAAGTATAGGAAGCAAGTTGTATATATTTATGTGTGTACATATAAACTTTGTAACAACTATTTTAAGAGTGATGAATACAAATTAAGTAATCTAAATTATTTAAAAGGGTATCGAAAAAGTTTTATCGTTTTAACATGCTTCATATTTATATTTCTCTAATTGGTACTGTGAAAGCATTTATTAATGGCCATATAGTCTAGTAGGTTATTGTTTTTTCTGGTCAAAAGGAAGATTTTGCTTTCCCTTCAAAACCTTCTTTTGGTGCACTTTGTTTGTATGTAATCAAAGAAGAATCATTCTCAAAATTTAAGATAAGTTGAGATGTTAATGATTGAAGTTTGTTTGCACTTGCCGAAAGGACATCTATTCAATCAATTTTAAAAAAGAAAAGTCCATTTAAACAATTTTTCGGTAAATTTAATAAGAAAAAAGGTTCTAGACATATATTTTTTTTACTTACATAAGTTTTTGTGTTGATAACACAAGCCTTAAATATAAATTAGAACAAATCTTTAAAAAGTGAAAACATAATCATCTCACATCAAAACCCACTTATAGTTTAACGATCTATGAAATCTTCACCGATATTTGAATTTGGTTAAAGCATATTAAATATGATTTGACTGGTTTGTGTTGGTATTAATAAGTATTAGTGAATAGTGAGTGTGAGTTGGAAAGAACTGAGAGAGTCAGCGTGGTATCTTTTATTGATTTACCCCTTCCCCACATTTTTTGACTATGCATTCACGAAACAATGATTTCTTGTACAGAAGTGAAGAGAGGAATAGAAAAGTGAAAAAGTAAGACACAGATGATTGGATAAATAAGGAAAAGATATTAAGATTATTGTAAAAGTAATTATAGGGTTTGAATGAACGTGATAGGGAACAGAGATATGGTGCATGATCTTAAGATGATAGATAAATTTGATGAGTTATTTATGTTAATTATGGTCAAAAAGTAATCGAAATTCATTGATTAACCATTGTCCCCACTTTGATCCATCTTTGTCTAGTTTGTTGAAAGATCTCCAACAGTGTGCGCATCTGAATTATTATGAAACTACATCACTCCTAATTATTAGTTGATAGCTCCTATAGTCCTATTCCATAATTATTGCAAGCCCTACTTTTTCTTCCATCTTTTGGACCCTTCTCCTAACGTCTATTTCCATCAAAATTTATGCACTTCCTTCATCGTGTCAAAATGCACTATATTCTATACTTTTTTTTCTCTCAATTTATATTAAGTTTATCATAAAAAAAAAACATTTATAACTTAAAGATGTATCAACCTTTAAAGCTTTTCCTTTTATGGCATACACTAACTTCATGCACTCTCTTCAAAAGCTCGATCCTTTTTGGTCTTACTTATTAGTCAAAACTCCTCATTTGTTGATGCGTTTTGTTTTTTATATTGAAAATGTAAGTAATAATTACACATGACCCATCAAATCTTTTATTTGTATACTAACTGATAAATAGTTGAGTTGAGTGATACTGATATTGACTCTTACCAACATTTCTATTAATAACCCAATTGTTCAATTAATATTGAAAATTGGATAAGATCGAGTTCATAACATAAGTTATAAAAAGAATGTACTTATGTATTTATGTCTTCACCAGCATTTTAGATATACATAAAAGATTGTATTATCACTATATTATTATTATAATATTAGTTATAAAATAAAATCGGTGCAAGTACAACCCCACACAGAAAGTTAAGATAGCTACATACCCTATATAGAAAATAGACCATGAGATGGGGAATTACTTTATCCCTTTAGAGTATTAGACTACTAGGCCCATTTTTCATCTGATTTTTCAATAAAACCCACCATGAATAGAAGTTACATCTTTTGATGAAATATTTAGAAATTATATATAATACAAGTTTTGATACCAAAAAATCATAACTGAGCATAGTCTTTAACTTTCGTATGAGGGTGTTATAAGATTATTGAGACTTTAATATCACTTTTAGATCTATAAAAGAAAATTTTAATATCAAGAAAATTTTATATGAAAAATTATAACACGACTTCTAGTTTAAAATTTTAAAATTTAAGGATAATAAATTTATAAATTTTATTATTATAAATGGATCCCATTTTAGTTTTATATAAAATTAAAATTGTTAGTAGGTGAGTAAAATTTTATTAGGTAACAGAAAAAGCCCGTGGGTTAAGAGTAGGGGCCTAATAAAAGACAAAAAGTAAATAGGGTTAGAAGATGTTATGTTGGGCTTGACCTAACTCCTAAGGCACATAGGTCCACGTATGGTCAAACGTCACATCACCGCACGCATGCCTTAAAATCGCAACGTATCATTTTCATGTAAATGCATGCATTACTAGTAATTCGTTTTATAAAAAAATAAATAAAACTATTCGAATAAGTGATCTTTTAAAATAATATGAATTAAAATACAATACCCTTAAATGAAATTATTTACCGTTTTGGTTTACGGGCATACTTTTCGATTTAATAATGTTTAGGAAATGGAGTTATATTTTTAATCTTAATCATTAGTACTTTGTTTCATTTAATACTACGGGATTATTTGTTTAACTAAAAAGGTTGTCAGAGTCAAAGTCGACTCAGAGACACGCATGCACTAGCTGGCAATAGAGAAATTTTCTGAAAAAGAAAGAATGGAGGAGGGTGTGTTTGTCCATAAATAGCTTTGTGACTTTTTTTCCTTTTCTTTTATTTTCTTAAAG